AATTGTTGACCTGAGTCCCCTACAGCTCAACATAACAGCATGGCTTTACTTCTTATACTTCGTTTTTATACTTTTCTGCTGGATGGTTAAGACCAAGGTAAAGCAGGACCTATGCAATAAGAGTTGTAGCTTTTGGGTCTGATAAGGTCAGTGAAATCCCCTCAGGGTTTATCCTGAGATCCTGTACCCAGTTTCCTTTTAAAAAAGAAAATTAAAAATCTTTTATTTATTTGGTATAGGGTCTCACTGTGCAGCTCAGTGATCCTCCTATCTCAGTTTCTCTGGTACTGGGGTTACAGGCATGTGCCACCACACCCTGTTTCAGTGGCCAGCACAGTGTACCCAGGTTCTGGGGCTGGCATGGCACGCAGTACTGGGGGTTAAACCTGGGTCTTTGCACTTGCCAGGCAGGCATGCAGATCACCAAGCCATCTCCCCAGTCCTGTGGTCAGTTTCTGTTAACTGGTTTTCCCCCATGCTAATAGATTATGTATTCCTGCATCTTTGTGTGCTTAGCAGTTTTTTCTGCTTATGTGTAGACCGTATAAATAATTTATAATAGAGACTCTGAAGTCTGTTGTCATGCTCTGAACAGTGGTTGCTGGCAGGAAACTCAGTTACTGGCTGTTCACCTTGGACTTCTGTAGGCTTCATTTGTGCTTTATTAGGTCACGTATATGGAAGACCATTCTGAGACTCCTTTATTTTGTTTTGTTTTGGTTTTTTGCCAGAACTAGGGGTTGAACTCAGGCCCTTGCACTTGCCAGGCAAGTGCTTATTCTACTGAGCCATCTCCCTGGCCCCTGTCAGTCTCCTTTATGATAGAGCCTACACTCTGCGTCCTTTCAGGCCATGTTGAGGCATGGTTTCCATCTTTGGTCTAATATAGCTATACCGGACCTTACTCTATGGTGGAATACTTAACTCCTGAACCCAGGCCATTATGGTGTCTTAGCTACTCTTAGTTGACCTCTTTTACCTGTCCATTTGACCCTGTAGTGCCACTGTCTGCTAAGTCCTGTGCAGTTTTCTCTGGACTTGTGCAGCCTACTCTTCAAATGAAGATTCATCGGGAGCCCCACATATAGTCCTCTACCCCCCAGGAACTCCATTTCCCTCCCTTCCTCCACCTTATCATCACAGATTTCATCAGTCTAGCTGCCTTCTCAGCTTCATGTGACCGCTGCGTTGTGTCTGGATTTGTGGCCAAGGTATTGTCTCTGGGGCAGAGAACACTGGGAGGTTCACATCATCAGCAACCTCTTCCAGTGCTTGTGGAAGTTACTTTGTATATTTTGTTCACTTTATGGTTGTTTATCAATAATGACTGGTCTGCTACTGGCTATTCTATTATCATAGCCACTTCCCTATTATTTTTGCCTTATGAAGGATAGATCTGCTTATTTGACAAACAGATACTCATGGCTCTTCTTTCTGAATTGTACCTTTTATCACCATTTAGTGTCATCATTCTCATAGTGCTTTTGGCTCTGAATTCATTTTTCCTATGAAGATAGGCCCCCTCTTTCTTGTTTGCCTTCTCTTGCTCTATCTGCTAGTAGTCCCTTTGGAGAATCTCTTTACTTGCACAGATGTAGCCTTAGCATTGGGATCCAGCCATAAAACTATTGAATGTGTTTGTAATTGTATACTTAATACAGATACACAGGGCAGATACAAGATACTAGTTAGGTCCTAATCAGGTGGGAGAGGAGAAGAAAGTAATGCTGATTTTGTCATTCTTTATGGTAGATGGCAGATAAACTGTCAAATGCGAGGTTGACTGCTTGTATCTTGGCCCCCAAATAACAAAGGAGCAAGTCAAGTAAATTCAGCCAACATCCCCTCTCATTACTCTTTTTCTGTTAGTTACATAACCGGTTCTCTACCCGTAATCCCCATGAGTTTTAGAACTAATCCTGCCGGTAGGTAGATTCCGTGCTGTCTGCCAGACCATTTGCTGTAGTTCTCCAGTTATCTCTTATAACACTGGAATTAATCTTCTTGTCCTTCCAGAAGAGCTTATGGGAGCAATATCCTTTGAGTTCTTACACGTTCAAAAATGTCTGTCTATTATCTTTACAATTAAGTGACATTTTGGCTACGTATAAAATTCTTGGGCCATATATCCCTTCTTAGCCCATGTGAGCATCACTCTGGTTTGCTGGCACAGTTGTAGCTGAGAATGTGCTGAGCACTGTCTGTACTTTACCCTCTTGATCAGGGTGATCTGTTCTGGCTACTGTGCAGCTATTAGGTCTAAGAGTTTTACTAGAGCCTATCTTAGTGTTGACTACTCTATAGGTTTTCTTTGGACTTTGACTTCCATTTCAAGACATTAAAACTACTTTTCTACATAAGCAAACCCTCGCATCTCATCTCTTTCATTACCTTCCCATACTATCCATCTCAACTCTGTCTTTCCTATTTTGCTCATTTTTCTTGCTTTCTAGCCTGCATGTATAGTTCCTTTCTGTCTTGTTTATCATCTTGTCTCCTGATTTTTCTGGTTCCCCTTGCTTTCTTCCTATCTTTCCTTCCATCCTTCCTTCCTTCCTTTTTTTTTTTTTTTTCTTCTTGAAACCAGGTGTAACTATGCAGCCTAGGCTGGCCTCAAGTGTATGACAGTCCTTGTGTCTCAGCCTCCCAAGTGCTGGTGTTACAGGTGTGCACCACCACACGCAGACACGTAAGCCTTTGTCTCCCACTTCTTTCTCGAGCTCTGCTAGGTCTGCTCTCCTCAGTGTTTTGCTGCTTTTGGTTCTTGTTTTATAGAGATAATTTATAGATGTGACTTAGTTCATTTAGTTTTATTTTATGAGTAAATCACTTAGTGACCATCTTGCTGGCATCTGAAGAATGTTGCCATTTGTTTTTCCTGTTTCTTTTCTGCTGTGCTTTTGTGTTGTTTTTGTAGAGACAAGTGTTTCTTTTTAAACAGATGATAATATTAGGAGGCATTTAGAAGAAAGTAGTTCTGATAGAACTCTTGATGCTGAGGACCACGATGTCCAGGTCATATACAAGATTGGGCCATATATCCCTTGATGACAAGTATGACCATCATAGAGTGTCACAGTGTTGGCAAAGTGCTTCTTATTTTGTGTGGGGACAGATGCCAAATGCATATAGCACATAGGACAGCCCTATTTGTGTAACCAAAAATGTTGTATGCTAATCTGTTTTTATTTACTATAACAAAATACCTGAGGCAGGTTAGCTTTATGAAAAAGAGAAATTTAGTTAGCTCACAGTTCCAGAGAGTGAACGTCCAAGATCAAGCAGCCCCATTGGTTTAGACTCCAGCGAAGGACTAATGGATGGCCTCACTTCATGCCAGAAATGTGTGAAGGGAATAGACTACATCATCAGACACAATGTCAGAAAGTCTTAGGCTTCACAGTCCTTTTCAAGGAAACAGTGTACAGCTAACCTCCCCACCATAATCACCACACTGAGAACCAAGCTCCCAACATGAATTTTAGGGGGATATGCTGAATCACACCTAGCCATAAATTTTTGACCATAAAGCCAGTTCTGATTCCTGGAGGCCACTCTGCTTGTTACAGGAAGCACATGTTGGGACAGGAGGCTTCCTGTTCACCAGCATTGAGCATGGGGTGCTTGGCCCCCAGAGAGAAAATGGCTCCCTATCAAGTCCATACAGGTCAAAAATGCTGTATAATTCCTCATCTTGTTTAGCACACTGACCCTTCACAGAGTCAGGCCAGGAGCTAGGCTTCACCATAGCCTGGTGAGGAACACTACTGTGCAGCCCTTTTACCTCTGGTGTTGTCTCCCTTTGTCCTGGACCTTAGTTCATTTTCTGTTGCTATACCAAAGTACCTGAGATTGAGTATATTGTAAAGAATAGAAGTTTATATGGTACACAGTTTGAGGGGCCGGAGAATTCAAGAGCATGGAGCTTTGGTGCTGCTCTATAACATGGTGGAGGACATCCTGTGGTCTCAGAAAAAGTATGCTAGCTCAGGTCTCATTCTCTTCTTATAAACCAGTAATGTCACCACAAAGGCCCCATCCTTGTCTAACTCTAATGATCTCCCAAGGCCCCACTTCCAAATGCCATCAGCATGTGGATTTGGAGATGAAGTTGCCAACATGAACTTCTGGGAGACACACTCAAGCCATGGCTTCTACCCACACTGTTGCTTCCCACTCTGGGCAGCTCTTTTGCCCCTTCTTATCACATGATTTCCTTAACTGCTTAGTGTTGCTGAAGGTGGGGTTTGCATTTCTCATCTTCGCTGAGATGTGGGTGTTGACCAAGTTTCTACTGGGAGAAATGTGAACTCCATGCTATTGCCAAACTAGAATTGTTACCTCTCACTAGATTTGAAGGTGTTGGGAGCCACAGAAGCTAGGAAATTGATCAAATGTGTGTAGGTGGGACTAGGCCTCACTGCCTAAAGCAAACAAGCTACCTCAGTCCTGGGATAAACATCCTGTCTGGTTAAGATCAGCTATTAGTCGCTAGGCACATTGATCTATGAATGAACTCAGGCACCCTTACTAACTTTGCAACATCCTTTTGTTGTGCTTTGCATCAGTCTTGCCCATCTGGCAGACCAGCGACCAACTCGCCCTGTTTTGTCTTCTTATCTGTCTCATTCCTGCTGCCGTTTCTCCTCGGGTAGAACTGAATGCAGTGAGACCAATGGATCCCTACGTGAAGATGCAGTGTATTCCCCACAGCAAAGGACTCAGGGCCACTCCTTAATAAGGGAAGGAGTTTCCAGAACAGGCTGAGAGAGCTAGTCTTTGATGTCATGGCCAAGTGGCCAGCCAAGAACAGAAGTGCTCCTGGGGGGAGGCTGAGGAGGTCGGCTGGTTGGGGAGTTAGTGTGTGGCCATCAGGGTGCCTGAGTTCATTCATAGATCTTACGGCAGGGCAGGGGGAGGTGCCCATGGGTGACCACTGAGCACCACTGGCTCAACCTAAGAGCACCTAACACCATCTCCTGCTGTCTTCCCTTTTGCAGGTGTGCAGCACTCACCAACTTACCAATCCTGGGATCTCTGAGGTTACAATCCGTCCAGACCACAAGATTCTAACCACTGCAGGCTGGGACCATCGCATCCGTGTGTTTCAGTGGCGGACGATGAAGCCACTGGCAGTGCTGGCTTTCCACAGTGCTTCTGTCCACTGTGTAGCCTTTGCCACCAATGGCTTGCTGGCTGCTGGATCCAAAGATCAGCGCATCAGCATCTGGTCACTGTATCAGCGTATGTGACCCAGCCACTCCTGCCTCTAGAGACTCAGAAGACAGGAGGTAGGCATCTCACTCCAGTGATGGCCCAGTCAAGTGGACACTGACCATCAAGGGCCCCTAAGGACCGGCAGGTGTGGCTCAAGGACCATAGTCTTCACTTTTTCATGAAGCTCACTATGGCATCCATATGACAGTGACCCTGACGCCTAGCAAGACATCTGGTACCTGTAGCCTATGAAGAGTTCTGGCATGGGCCTGGCAGTGCTGCCAGCCTGAGCATATTGTATAATAAATTTTCTGTTTCAACCTCTTCTGCTGATCTCTCTACTTAAAAGAGAGCCCTCAGGGGCCAGGGAGATGGCTCAGTGAAATAAGCGCTTCCCTGGCAAGTGCAAGGACCTGAGTTCAATCCCTGGTTCTGCCAAAAAGAGAGAGAGAGAGAGCCCTCAGATTCCCCTAGATGGATCCCTTGCTGGGTCTTGCTATTAAGTGGGTGACCCTGAGTGGGTTTCAAGGCCTTTGGAGGGCACAGACCCTGACTGTAGCTTTCTGCTGATATTTGCATAGCTTCTTGCACCAGAGATAGACCAGAACTCCTGACATTCGAAACTGAGGCTAGGACTGGGCGAAGATGTCACTGAACTCCAAGAAAGCATAGCAGGAAAGGGGCTGATGCTAGGTGGCATAGTTGAGGCAGGAGTTCATGGTGTCCAAAGCAAGGCCAGACACAGGATGGGGAGGAGATGTCAGTCCCAGAAAGGGCCTATCAGGCTACAGGGACAGATTCAGTATATTTCTTATGTATAAGAATTGTTTCATATTTATATGTAAGTATATATTTCATATATTAAACATTATATGTATGATATATAATATGTGGTATATATTGTATATATTTGCTATATAAAGAATTTATAAGTAGGCATCTAGTGGCTGTCTATAAAGTCAGGGGTGGAAGATGCAAGAGGGCCATCTGCATCCTGGAGAGCAAAGATCCAGTCAGAAGGGCCTGGAGGGCCGGGGAGATGGCTCAGTGGAATAAGCGCTTCCCTGGCAAGTGCAAGGGCCTGAGTTCAATCCCTGACTCCAAAAAAAAAAAAAAAAAAAAAGGGCCTGGAGCTCACTGTAGAGTCAGGTATGAGGGATAGAAGAAAGCTGAAGGGTCGGCACAGGAAGCTGAGGAGTTGAGGAGTCTGTTGGAAACCTGAAGGAACTAGTGATGAATGTCCAAAGGTAATGGCAAAGATGAGCTCTTCCAAAAAAGCAAAAGGAAAGATTTCTTTCCCTTTTTATTCTACCCAAGCTACAAGCCTATTGGTTGGTGCTACCCACATCCAGAACTGTGTTCCACTAACCTGCTATGCATTGCCTAATCCATTCAAGTTGACACCATAATTATCTATCACGGGGGTTAGGTGATGGGACAGGCCCATCTCCAGGTGACTAGCCGAGGCATAGAGACATTGAGACAGACAAAGCTCTTCATAGTAACTGGACACAAGCTCTGCCTCATGAGTGCACAAAGCAGCAATAACATAAAAGCTAGGGACGAGGCTGCACTGCCCCCTGCACATGGCCAACCCAATGAGCATCTTGTATTAATGGGAAGGGATCAAGACTCTGAATATGGAGGCCAGGGAGATGGCTCAGTGGAATAAGCACTTCCCTGGCAAGCGCAAGGGTCTGAGTTCAATCCTCGGTTCCACCAAAAAAAAAAAAGTCTGTGTGGGTGGAGCCTACAGACAGAACCCAAGGAAGCAAGGACCTCTGCACGTTGTCCTTAATGCCAGAGGAGCCCAGCCCCTTCTGAGTCTTGCGCTTTCTAGCAAGGCAGTGCTAAGTTCAGGACACCACCTCATCCCTGGCACCCCCAGAGGAGGAGGCACAAAGTACATGCTGTGCTGAGGTCACTGTACTGCAACCGAAGGACCTGGTATCTCTAGTTCATAGAGCCACAGCTATCTAGAGAAGCAGGAACAAAGGGGCAGGGTCCAAGTGGCTGGAGTATGAAGTGGGCCAGTAATTGATCTGGGCCTACAGTGCACTCTGACAGTTGGGTTCATGATGAGTTGGCTGAGACATGGATCCAAAAGGTAGCTACACCTTTCAGATGCTTGATGGCCTTGGTATGCAGACAAAGAAGGGACCTAGAGGCTGGGGGATTGGCACATTGGAGATTTGTCATGTAAGGCCTCTGTACTCTCAGTGGGAGGGTCCAGAGGATACACTGTAAGGTCCCACAGAGAGGGATAAAGAGGCTGAGGGAGCCCAGCATACTTAAAGAGCTCTGTGACTGCTCTCTGTAGACCAGAGTGACAGTAGGAACCAGGGGCAGTGATGTGTGCCCAGTCCCAGCTACTTGGGGAGCTAAGGCAGGAGGCTTCCTTGAATGCTGGTGCTGTCCACTCTTGAGCTCTTGTTAACAGCTCTCCTTGCTACTCAAAGCTAGTACCCACTACCAGCCTTAGGAACCCTTCTGGCCTCAGGAGAAGGTGGTTCCCAGCTATTCTTCCTCTGTCTTTCTCTGGTGCCGTCCCTTCTATGTTACTAGCCCCTATGTTGGTAGCTTTTGTTGCCAGCAGTCTTCAATGTTACCAATTCATCCTGCTCTACTTGAGATGGAATTCATAAATAGGCAAGAATATTCTACCTGGAAGATACTTGTTAGGATTTATGCCACATCATAAGGGGAAGCAGTGCCCAAACTGACCCACTAAGGGCCCAGGAGGTATAGGTGAAACAGCAGGCACATGCTGAGTGTCAGACTTTAGCCATCATAAGAGGGGTGCCTGGCAGACTTGACTGAAGGCTGCAGATGGGTAGACTCATCCAGAGAGCCCAAGGAGTGTCACTTAATTGTTCAAGGTGGGAATAGTTTCTATACTGGGCAGTAGAATAAGAGCCACCCTCAGAAGAGTCTAATGCAGAGACCTATGGCTGGACCAGTGTCCTGGGGTCCCTAGAGATGGACGTGCCAGGCCATCCATCAAAGTTACCTTGATCCACATAAGTAGAGGCATTTTAGATCTAGCAAGCAGAAATCTGACCTGGTCATGACATGGCTTCAATCACGGCCCAGAGCCCTCCTGCTAGGGAGAGTTCAGTCCCTTAAGGAAAGTCCCTTTTACCCTGCCAACAGTATATACTGCCCAACCTCCTCCCAACCTCCCCCAGGGGCCTACCCACACTGTCTGGAGAAGTGTTAGTTTTGGCCAGGGAAGGCCGACCCATACCCAAGTGTGAGGCCTTGGCTCAGGCACAAGCTTGACCCCACTGGCTGTGTTAGGCAGAGGTGGCTGCCAATATCTCAGGGAACCATATCAGTTCTCCTTTAGCCACCGGGATGTTGGCGATGTTGGACAAATCAGTCACTGAGTATATGGGAGGAAGAGTGACCTCAAGTTTAGGTGGCAGCAACCTGAACTTGTCAGTCACTAGAGGAAGCTACTAGGGAAGCCACACTGTGGATGCTGGTCAAATCTGTCACAATTGTTAGTTTCTGATGTGCCCACCACAGCAGTGTGTAGAGGCCTACATCTGGTCATTGAGGATGCAGAGACAATGGAGGGTATACAGCCTTGTTGGAGAGGTCAGGCCACAGCATCTCTGGTTCAAAGCTAGACTGTGCTTCTGGGTAGCAGCCACTGCTGCCAGCAGCACTGAGTGCCTGGCTCAGACTGTAGACCAGCTATACCTCCACAAAGCATCAGGGCCATTAGTAGAATGTCTAGAGAAAAGTGGCAGTCCTGGTGTCCAGAGGATGACAGCAGAGCAGGCTTGGATTTTCTGATGCCAGGCAGCAGAGAACTCTATACTTCAGGAGCTCACACTGAAGCAAAGCTGTGAACATACAGGGTGGTGGGTGCCCCCGACCATCCTCATGCTCCATATCCTCCATGGGCACTCAGAGAGGGTGGCCTTGTAGAGGTAAGGTGAGCAGCAGGGCAGGAGACAGACTTTCAGGCCCTGCCTTGGCTCCAACCCCCAGGTCCTTGTGCATTGGGCAGTGGGCCTTGCTTCTTGAGGGCCTCTGGAATCAGAACAAGACTTCACAGGTGGGGCTTCCATCCAACCCTACCGCCATTTATATCCATGTTGTCTTTGGCATTACTACTGTATGCACACAAATCTGCAGCTGAAGCTAGAGGTATAGCTCAGTTGTAGATTACTCCCTAGCAGGTACAAGGCCATGGGTTTAATCCCCAACCCTGCAAAAACAAAAAAATGCACTAGCGCCAACAGCCATGAGGTGTGTATTCCAGACCCAGGGATAAGGGTGCTATGAGCCTGTACAGTTTACCAAATGCAGGAATGCTTTCTTCCAGAATGTCCAAGGAGAGCTGCAGTTCATGGGCGACCAGCATCTTACCTGGGCAATCAGATGGTCAAGATGTGTTGTGTTGGCAGGGACACAGGATGAATCTCAAGACCTTGTACATGCTTTGGAAACCCCATCACTGAGCATGACTGTGGCCATCCTCATATTTTCTAAGTTAAAGGCAGAGCACAGGGGCCAGGGAGATGGCTCACTAGAATAAGTGCTTTCCTGGCAAGTGCAAGGGCCTGAGTTCAATCCCTGGTTCCACCCTAAAAATAAAAATAAAGGCAGAACACAGAGGGGGATCATTTGGGAATTAGGTTCTTATGAGGAGAGTGGCATGTGTGGTTCATGCTACCACAAGAATCTAATTCTGCTGCTGATACAGCAGGAGATGGAACTCAGGCAGTAATGCAGGTATTAGAGAGAAGCTATAAAGACAGATGAAGCTTAAAGGCAACTGCCTGCGCAGTGCCGTCCTATCTAATACCCTGTAGTGGGATTTCTCTAGCTACCATTTTGCCACCATAAAAATGGCCTGCCTTTCTTTGGAGGTGTTCCCATACCCTGGTCGGTTAGGAAAGCCTTCTTGGAAGTCCAGCAGCTGTAGAGCAAGGCCCAGCCAGGCTACTGCCTACCCATCCCTGTCACACACCCAGAGGTGGCAGCCAGCTCACATCTGCTAACAGGTACCACAAGCTCTTCTGCTCATTGAGAGCTGTGGGCCATTGTGGACACTGAAAACAGTGTTCCCGCCTGTGCGTTGTAGGTAGACCCTCCCAAGTCCCGTGGCTCCTCTCACACTGTGCCATGAGGTCTGCAGGATTTGGGTAGCTTTGCTCATACAGCACTCTGGTTTTCTCCCCCATTACTAAGTATTTTCCTGCTTACATTAGCTCTCAACCACACAGCTTCTTTAGTATTTGAACTGAGGTGCTTATTTCCTTCAAATTTTAATATTGCATAATCTGAACTGGCTCAT